GACAGATGGACAGGGAAGCCCCAAGGGCTGCCCAAGGGAAGAGTCGCCCCTAAAGAGCAGCAGAGACATTTTCAAGCACGGCAGAACCCAGAAGTTTGCCTGCGCTGGGCGGTGGGATGACCCACAAGCACATCAACGGCATGCAGAAAGTGGATTAATACAACGCGTAGCCCCTTTCTGCACAGAGTAACATTTAATCCTCCCCACCAAAGAGCCCCTCCACACCACGTAACCGCTATCAGCACGCACGGAGCCGACTACCTGGCTGCTGAGCGCCAGCACAGCGCTCCCGGGACACAGCAGCTTTCCTCCGGGCGCCTGCCCGGTGTGAGCTCGGCTCTGGCGCAGGAGGGGAGCTGCCCGTGCCCCGTCGGGCTCACTTCAACAATTTAAATTTCTTCAGGTGCTGGTGCACTTGGTCCTTCGGGTAAGGCCTGAGCGCCAGGCAGGTGGCCACGTTCTCAGGCTGCTCAGTCCACACTTCGTGGTCGACGCCGTGCTGCTTCAGGGTCTCTGCCAGCGTCGTCAGGGCGGCTTCATCCGGAGCCTGGGGAGAGACAGAGCCTGCTGTGAGGGCTGGGGGGCGAGGCGGCGCTGGGCTACCCGGCAGGGGTGGTGGGGAAGGGGCAAAGCGAGAGCTCACACCAAGGACGGTGGCCAGGGCAGGGAGGTGGCCAGCTGCGGGCACACGGGCGCGAGGTTGGGCCATCCCCATTGCTTCGTGTCTTACCCAAACGGCATTTTGGTCCTGCAGGAGCTGGGGGCTGCGAGCCCACACAGGTTGTAAACCTCCAGAAATGCAGGGTTTAATGGACGTCATCTATCTGGACTTCTGCAAAGCCTTTGACACGGCCCCCCACAACATCCTTCTCTCTAAATTGGAGAGCTATGGATTTGATGGGTGGACTGTTCGGTGGATAAGGAACTGGCTGGATGGTTGTGTCCAGAGGGTAGTGGTCAATGGCTCGATGTCTGGATGGAGACCGGTGACGAGTGGTGTCCCTCAGGGGTCC